TGAGTAATTGAATTCCTGAACAATTTGTTAAAGGTCTGGAGAGCATCCCAGGATAATCTGATTGCCCTCCTAGGTAGCCCTGCTACATCTCCAACCTCATATAATAGCAAGATCTCTCCCATCTTACTCTGACATACAATTGGCAATTAAAGAAGATGAACAGAGAATGCCTGTGTGTGGGTTTGTGTATGTGTGTATAGTTGGCTTCCCTATATGTCTCCTGAAGCTGTCTCTGCTAACTGGGTAGCCAGCAATGCTCCAATCGATCATAACTGGATATAGGAAGCATTTTGTTGGAAGCTGTCAACTGCAATCAGAAAACATCAACAATCATGGATTTATATTGTTATTTTAAATATGAAAAATATGTTGTAAGAGCTGCTTGTGATAGGGGAAAAATTAGTCTTAATGAGTGATCTAATATTAAGGATACCTGAAATCCCAAATATACGTCTATTGAAATGTAACTGGAATATGATAATTGTAATTGGTAAAGCTTAAAACAGGATATAGATTATCATAATTGCAAGGTGATTGAGGATTTTTGTTTGATGGAATTTTATCTAAAATTGTATTAATTTTAATATGTAATATTATTTCTTATAGAGAGGAAATTGTTTATAATTAATTTGAGCTATATGTATATGATTTTGTTCTTGAATGATTTGACACTCTGACCACCACGTTGTGTCCTAAGCTTTTGTAAAAAATGGAAAAAAACCAATAAAACTTTTATATATATATATAAAAAAGAAAACATCAACAATCTCTCCGCTATCTCTGTTCTTCCATCTTTACCTTCTGCTTCTTCCTTTCCTCAGCTGAGCCCATCCTGTCAAACTCTTATTTGTTCCTAAGAGTCTCTTTGGGAAACCTTTTCTCTTTCCTTCCTCTCTTTCCTTTTCTTTTTCCTTTCTTTCCTGTCCCTTCCCTTCTTTACCTATTCACCCCTTCCCTTCCCACATTCCCGCTCTTCCATCTAGAAGTGAAAGCCATCTGGCTGGCCTCCATCTGACCAGGTGGACCAGCTGGACTTCAAATGCTCTTGGTCAAACCCAACTTCAAGGCTCTCTTTGGTTCTTCATGCTTCAGGAAGACTTTGTCATTGTTCTTTCTCTTTTGCAGGCAGAGAGATTCCAGTTAAAGGCCAACCAACAAGTGCACGGCTAACGTACTGTTACAGAAACAGGAAACAATGCTGAGTTGAAGAATGATTTGTACAGGACGAATCTCGGGGTTCACCAGGACCGTAAGAATTCTGTTGGCCTCCCTGTTGTCTAGACCTTGTATTATATTTAACGTACTTTGATTCCTATTCCTCTCTTGGGAATTGTTTTTTCCTTGATGATAGCCCTTTGCAACTTGGCCTGATATCCACCACATTTTGCTGATTTTATTTTTTTACTAGCCCCTTTTCTGGGAATTGAAGGGAAAAGTGTTAAATATAGATAATCTGTGGGCTGCTTTTTAGCTTTGGGTTGTTGGTATCCACAGCATCTTGCTGACAGAGACTGTTCCACAGAAAGGTCAGCCTAGGTCAAATGCCACAAAGACAATCGGGTTCATTTCTTCAGAAATGTAACGGGAAATAGACAGAATATAAATCTTGGAGCAGAGCCCTCTATCTGCATCGTGACTCTTGTCTGTCTACCCAACGTCTTCTGGTCTACAAGCAAGAGACCGTCGCACTTGTGAGTATTCTCTGCCGAGTAAGCCAATGGGTGATGCTTGGTGATGGGCTGCAGGCTTCTTGTGCCAATGCTTGATCTGTGCTCCTTGAATGCTGGATATATAGTTGCTTGCATAGATGACAGCTTTTGGTTACTACAACTGGACCTTCTGTCAGAATTGTTAAAAGTAATTATGATTAATGTGGGCAAAGATAGAACTGCTGCAACAGAATTCCTCATCACTTTCTCTCTTGAGAGAGTCACATCCAGAATTCAGAATCAAATCCAATGAATTGCACATCCCTGATTTAGTGGGCACAGAATAATATTCATTGAAGCATGGTTAAGAAACTGCTCCTTGGCCACTCAGCAACATGGAAGAGTCGAATCCAGGGGCTGTATAAAAACAGGAGCTCTAGAGAGGTGGGAATCATTTTATGGGCATGTTATTTAATAGATTTTTATCCTGCCTTTATTATGCCAGGAGTAACTCAAGGTGGCAAACAGATCTAATATTCATTCCCCCTCCTATTTTCCCCACAGCATTAGGCCTGTGAGAAGGATTGGACTGAGGTGTGGGGGGGGGAGTCTGGGCCAAAGTCACCCACAATACAGAACTCAAAATTTTAGTAAAGATTGACTGAAGTTGCTCTAGAGGGGAAGTTGGAAGCTGTCAACTGCAACGAGAAAGCATCAACAATCTGTGTGTGCTTGTCTGTGTGTCTGTGTGTGTATTTCTGGCTTCCCTATTTGATGCTTCAAGTTGTCTCTCCACCATCCCTGTTCTTCCTTCTCTCTCTTCTGCCTCTTCCTTCTCCACAGCTGAGGCCCCTCCTGTCAAACTCCTCTCCATTCCTCTTTGGGGAATCTTTATCTTTCCCTCCCTCTTTTTCTTTTTCTTTTTCCTTTATTCCTAGCCTTTCCCTTCTTTGCCTATTCATCCCTTCCCTTCCCACATTCCTGCTCTTCCATCTAAAGCAGGGGTAGTCAACCTTGGCTCTTTTATGACTCGTGGACTTCAACTCCCAGAATTCCTGAGCCAGCGTGGGGGAACTATGGCCCCTTCATGACTTGGAGACTTCAACTCCCAGAATTCCTCAGCCAGCATGGGGGAACTATGGCCCCTTCATGACTCGTGGACTTCAACTCCCAGAATTCCTGAGCCAGCCTGGGGGAAC